CCCAGGCCCAGGTTCACAGGCCTGAAAATGATGGCCCAGACCCAAGCCCAAGGGCTTTGGTTGGACTCGAGCTGGAGCCCAAACGCGCATAAACGGGTTGGGCTCGCCCACCCTGGGTCGCAGGCGGGCTTCGACTGCCCACGAGCAACGGGCCATTTTTACACTCCTAATTGCAGTCGACATTTTCTTGCCATTTAACCCTAGAAATGTCTTTTGGTTAATGATGCTTGTATACATAGAAACATACACCATTTTGGCAAAGAAGCTTGTATACATAAAAACATACGTATTTATAGCCTTGAAAGATCAAAATTAAAGAAGAAAAAAAATTAATTCCAAGCTTTACTTAAACCACCAAAACGTACACACATCATTGCATATTAGAGAGCAACTTTTTTTTGAATCTTCACACCCCTCTCCTCTCTCTCCCCTCCGTGAAGCCCTCAAATTCAAACTCATCACACAAACCCACAAATGGCTCTGTTTCATCTATTCCTCAACCTCAACTTGTAGACCTAGCAAGGTGTAATCACTAGAGGTTCTGGACATCGGTGACATGGAAACTCAAGAGGTACTTGACATGTTGCAAGCTGACAGAGCCAGGAACCAAAGAAAAAGATAAGGGAAAAATGAGAATGGATTCGTGTTACTTATCAGAGAAGAAAACTAGCCATGGTGATGGTAGGAAGTTGCCGAAAAAGAACTGTTACTATTATAATGAAATGAATGAAGAGGAGAGAAATGAAAAACTGATATCTGCCATTAGGTACTGCAAAGATTTAAAATGCTAGGTAAGTGAACATCAGTCGCGATTGCACGATGTAGTAGAAATTTAAAAATACGAAAATCTTGAAGCACCATCGTGCAGCTGGAAAGGTATTGAGGACACGGGTTTTGAGAGACAGAAGATCCTGTGTCCGAGTGAAAAACTATGGGATGATCCAGATCAGAAACAAAGAGGACTCTGAATTTGAATCTAGATAGGTATGGCTTACATGAGTTGAAGAAGGGTAGCATTGAATCTTAAAGAGTTTGATTTGTTTTCTGATTCTTTTTGCTTCTGAGAGATTTAAATTATGTATGCTTCTAGAGAAAAAATTTAACAAAGATCCCTCACAAGCAAAAAGAATAAAAAACCGAATCAAAAGCATACATAATTTAACTTTTAGAAGCATTCGTTTTCTAAATTATGTATGCTTCTATACAACCATCTTTGTTAACTTTCTTCTCTAGAAGCATACATAATTTAAATCTCTCACAAGCAAAAAGAATCAGAAAACGAATCGAACTTTTTAAGATTCAATGTTAGCCTTCTTCAACTCATGTAAGCTATATCCATCTAAATTCAAATTCACAGTCCTCTCTATTCCTGATTTGGATCATCCCATAGTTTTTTTCACTCAGACACGGGATCTTCTGTCTCTCAAAACCTGTGTCCCCAATGTCCATCCAACCACACGATGGTGCTTCAAGATTTTCATATTTTGAAATTTCTACTGCATCGTGCAATTGCGACTGATGTTCACTAACCCGACATTTTGAATCCTTGCAATACCTAATGACAGATATCAGTTTCTCGTTTCTCTTCTCTTCATTCATTTCGCTATAATAGTTATAGTTCTTCTTCGGCAACTTCCCACCATCACCGCGGCTAGTTTTTTTCTTCGACAAGTAACACGAATCCATTCTCATGTTCCCCTTATCTTTTTCTTTGGTTCTTAGCTCTATCAACTTGCAACATGTCAAGTACCTCTAGAGCTTCTGCGTCACCGATGTCCAGAACCTTTGGTGATTACACCTTGCTAGGTCCACAAGTTGAGGTTGAGTAGGGGTGTAAATCTGGTCCGGCCCACTCGGGCTCGAGCTCGGGCCTAGGCCCAAGTCCAGGCTGGCCCATGTCGGGCCTTGCGCGCTCTCGCCAAATTTCGGGCAAGGCCGGGCTGGCCCATGGGCCAAAAAATGAGGCTCTGGCCCAAGCACAAGCCTAGGGGTATTCGGACCTTGGGCTGGGCCGGTGGACCTAGGCCTGGCCTCGAGCTTGGATGGGCCTAACTATTTTTTTTTTTTTAATGTTTCTACCAAAATTTTATTATTTTCCATTAAAAAAGACACTAGGCCTCGGTAGGGCCGGGGCCTTGAATGGGCTTAAGCGGGTCGATGGACTGGGTTACGAGCCGAGCCCAGGCCCACGGGCCTCAAAATGATGGCCCAGGCCCAAGCCTAGGGGCTCGGGCCCAAACGAGCCTAAACGGGTCGAGCCCGCCCTGGGCCACGAGAGGGCTTCAGACCACCCACGGACTGCGGGCCATTTTTACACTCCTAATTGCAGTAGACATTTTCTTGCCATTTAACCTTAGAAATGTCTTTTGGTCAAGTCAAAGCCAAGGGCTCTCTTCCATTCAATTTTTAGAATTTATTTTTAATAAACATTTTTTTTTTTATTTTCTAGACACATTTCAAAAATTAGATTCATGAAAAAAATAATTAAAAACATAAATTCTTATTGTGTTTATTTTTGTCAAATTATTTTTTAATTTTTCAAAAAAATATATAAAACAAGAAGTTTCAAAAACTTAATCACCTTTCCCCCTAGTATATCAGACTATATAATCTGCAATTTATACTCCTCAAATTTATTTATATATATGCACACAAATTTGCAGAGGCTTCACTCTACAAAACAAAATCATTTTGCTACTTGCACTTCCTATTAGTGTTATGTTGTTTGTGATTCTATTGGATAGAGACGTCAATATTGGCATTTTCTAATTTATAATCCACAAACATGAATCAGAAATGGAAACAAAAAAAGTAATTATTTACACAATGACTCCCATTAAATGACAATCTAGAGCATGACCAATGACTGCAACACCAAGTACATAACCAGTGTCTTAAAAAACTCTAGACGCATTGAGATGCTAAGATCTCTTGGAGCTTAAGCATGTGGCACAAGGCTAGGCTCGTGCCTCACCGAAGCGAGGCACAAGTTGTTGAAGATAACCAAAATATTAATATAGGCAAAGTTTTTAACGTAAAATAAATATTTTTAAAGTTATAAATAAATAAATAATAGAACGACATTCAATATTCCATAAATCATAAAAGATTGCATTCAATGTTTCAAAAAAAATTCAAAAATAACATTCAATCTTACTTTACCGTATACTATTCATCTTTCTTTATTAATTTATTAACATGATTCATTTCTTTTTTTAGATAAGGAACTCACATCATATAATACCTTTGTGATTTTAATTCTAAATCAGGATCAAATTGTCTGATAGCTTCAATTATTTTTAGACAAGGAACTTACATCATATAATATCTTAGTGATTTTAATTTTAAATCGGAACCAAATTACCTGATAGCTTCAATCATTGGCCCGAAACTATTGTAATTTACTACATTTAAAGGAATCCTAAAGCCAAATACCTATCTCGCAATCCCAAAGCTTTTGCTTAATGTTTAGAGCTTTTTTTGATATGAAAATGGGGATCAAAACATGTGTTTACATTTTATATTAAAGGGATTGTAATTCCATAAGGTTACACACACAAAGAATAAGGATGGAGCAAAAATCGCCTAAACCTAAGGCGCGCGCTTCAAGCAACTCAAATGCGCCTTTCCTACTACGCCTCGCCTCAAGCTGTATGAAGCCTCAAGTTGTATGAAGCGAGGCCCACGCCTAAGCCTAAGGCACGCACCTCAAGCGCCTCAAATGCGCCTTTCTGAGGCGTCTCAGGTGAGCCTCGATGAGCCTTGCGCATAAGCAAGCGTTTCGACGCACCTTTCAAAACACTGGTCACAACAATGCTTGTATTCAGGTCTTGAAGTCCCTACTAGCAAGAAACTTCAAATATTCACTTCTTTTTTTCTTTTTTCTTTTTTTTTTTTATGGATGTAATTATAAGTAAAAACTACACATACAACCATCAACAATGAGCCATTGTTACTTCTTTCCTCCAACTGAAAATTGCTAAATTTTATATTTATAATCTTTTGATTTGTTTCGATCTAAACTTTTGCTACCATTTTGTCATGAAAAGACAAGCAACATGAAATATGTGCCACAACTCAAAAGTCATTTTCCACCATTTTCCTAACAAATGTTGAAATTGAAATGACAACAGCCCAAAATTAAACATATATATAAAACTTGTAACTTGCCCTAATTATATAATCCATCCATGGTTGTAATAAACCCTTTCCGGTCAATTCCCACATAAAAGACATCAAATCAGACTATAAGTCATTGGGCTTGTTTCACACACACAAACACACAATGCATCACTAATCAAAGCTCCTACATTTTCAATAGGCAACGCCAATAAGAACTTAAGTCCCAATTGTTTTCTTAAGAACTTTGTCATTCATAATTTTAGTTGAAGAGGTGCTGTGATGAATTTGTTGCATTTGGTAGCAGAAAACATGAGCAACCCAAAATACTGGTGCACAATCCCCAAACTCACAAATGAACTTCAAGGCCACATTGTCTCTCAACTTGCCACTATTTTTCAGGCATATTGGAAGTGAGATATATTTAACTCCTGAACAAGAAATGGGAAAGGTCCTCCACCGTCATTGCATTCTCAAGATCATTAGTGACTACAGATAACACGTATTGACCAAGGCAAATTTAATTTTCAAAATTGTTCCATTGAGACAAACATAATCAAGAAGGATCAAACCCGTTGAAAACTTCAACTTGAAACACAATGAAACACAAAATTTCAATTTTTTTTACCTAATAAGGTAATAATAAATTCAATATAATTCAGTAAGGATTCGTTTGGGAAGTGGATTGACTTTTTGATTTTTTTGATAATTTTAACCTGGGGCTAAAAAGCCTCGTTTGGGAAGGGCTTTTGACTTTTTTATGAGAGAAATAATGTAATGATTATAGATTGGATGTGATATTGTCTTATTGGATTAAAAAACCTATTTTGTTTTTTGTAGCTATTTTAGCCAAAAAAGCCTGACTTTTTTCTTCCCAAATGGAGCCTAAAAATAGAAAATTGCAACAATAGCAAAAGTTGGGAATTAAGAACACTATCACATATTAATAACCAATAGTTCATTAAGTACACATGTCTTGAGCTTAATTCTCATTACAGTGAGCTTACTTTTCAGAAGAGTTGGGTCCCCTCTTCTTTCCAAAGCCAACAACTGCAAACAAGTACATAAGTCATCAGCTTAATTCTCATTACAGTGAGCTTACTTTTCAGAAGAGTTGGGTCCCCTCTTCTTTCCAAAGCCAACAACTGCAAACAAGTACATAAGTCATCAGTCAAGCCTCCAAGCTGAAACTAAAGGCTAGCAAATTATAACACTGATTGTTGCTGAGAAGAAAAGAGTTGAATAGGGAATATATATATATATATATGTAATAATAAAATTCAATCTCAAATTTTCAACATTTTGGGTTTTAGATTACAAAGTTCCACTTAACCCAAGGACAAAGTTAGCAGGAGTTAGCTGCCCCTAAAATTTCAAAATTATCTAGGCAACCCCATATTTTATGAAAAAATTTATATTGTATATGGAATAACGAACCCAAAACATTTGTTTATTATATCATAGTATCAATTTAATTATTTTCTAGATTATTCATAAAGATCAAATTTTTATTTGTATCAATTAACAAAATGACTTCAAATGGCTAATATCCTAATTGTATAACTCAAAATTTGTCAAATAATTCAAATTAGTATTAAGAAACAACTGATATAAATTTATTATTTTCCTTATTATCATTGTCCTTTCTTCAAGCTTATATTAAAATTTACCCTTTGTTCAAAGTTCTTTTTTTTTTTTTGCTACACTTTCTCAACCCTGACTCAGCCAATGCTATCATTTGATTTTGTTCTCAACAAATTTACAGACACAATTAAGAGAATTTTTCCCGGTCTTTCTCAGCACCCAAACGCTCCTTATTTCGGAGAACTTCAGATCTACTAGCAGATCTAAAATCACCGAACATAACGATAAAAATTGAAGCGGTTCATAACATGATATATCTATAATACTTGTAGAGAGAGAGAGAGAGAGAGAGAGAGAGAGAATGAGGGAAGTTACCGGCGGTGACGAAGCGGCGATTGTACTGCATACGCTTGTGAGCACGGCCGCGGGGCTTCTTCTTCTTGTCCTGCTTGGCTACTTTTGGAGTTTGGCCTCTCACCTTACCGGCACGAGCTAGCGATCCGTGAACCTTACCTGCAAAATCATCAAATCCAGATTGAGATATATAGCTTTTAAGTTACAAATTCGAAACCCTAGATTGGAAACGGTGATTTTGAGCTCACCCATGGTTGTGTTGTTTCTTCGACTGGAGGCTTCGTGCGATAGAGAGAGAGAGAGAGAGAGAGAGAGAGAGCAGACAAGATGTTGAGAATTCTAGGGTTAGGGTTTTGCTGGATATGTGTGTGTATATATATATAGTAGGGTAAATTATTGATAAATCTCATTTAGAAGTCTTTTAACCCAAGAAATTTACGAAGAAATTTTTTAACCCATTTAGTCCCATGTATGTATAGTTTTATTCCATAAAGTCTTTTTTCTTGATTTACACTATTTTCTTGGACAGTTATGCCCTTATATTTAATTTTGATACCCTTATAAATATTTTTTGAACAGTTAGCAATTTTATGATATGAACATTCATATTTTTAAATTCACATTGGTAGGAATGTAAAATTGGCCCGTGAGCAGCCCGAAACCCGCCCGCGAGCTGGGGTGGGCTCGGCCTGTTGACAATGTGAATATTCACATTGACATGTTAACATTCACATTGACATGTTAACATTCACATTAATGGGAGTGTAAAATTGGCCCGCGTCCCATGGCAGCGCGAAACCCGCCCACGGCCCATGGGCGGCCCGGGACGGGCCCGGTCCGGCCCGTTGACAATGTGAATATTCACATTGACATGTTAACATTCACAATGATAAGAGTATAAAATTGGCCCGCGGCTCATGGCTAGCCAAAAGCCCGTCCGTCGTCCTGGGCGGGCCCGGCCCGCCCCGTTGACAATGTGAATATTCATATTGACATGTTAACATTCACATTGATAGGAGTGTAAAATTAGCCTGCGCCTCGTGGCTGCCGGAAACCCGCCCACGGCCCATTGGCGACCTGGGGCGGGCCCGGCCAGGCCTGTTGACAACGTGAATATTCACATTAACATGTTAATATTCACATTGATAAGAGTATAATATTGGCCAGCGGCCTACGGCGGGCCAGACCCGGCCCGTTGACAATGTGAATATTCACACTGACATGTTAACATTCACATTGATAGGAGTATAAAATTGGCCAGCGGCCCAGGGCGGGCTCGACCCGGCCCGTTGACAATGTGAATATTCATATTGACATGTTAACATTCACATTGACAGGAGTATAAAATTGGCCAGTGGCCTAGGGCGAGCCCGACCCGGCCCGTTGACAATGTAAATATTCACATTGACATGTTAACATTCACATTGATAAGAGTATAAAATTGGCCCGCGGCCCATGGGCGGCCAAAAGCCCGTCTGTCGCCTGGGGCGGGCCCGGCCCTGCCTGTTGATAATGTGAATATTCACATTGACACGTTAACATTCACATTAATAGGAGTGTAAAATAAGCCCACGCCTTGTGGCTGTCCGAAACCAGCCCATGACCCATGGGCGGCCCAGGGCGGGCCCAGCCCGGCCGGTTGACAATGTGAATATTCATATTGACATGTTAACATTCACATTGATAAGAGAATAAAATTGGCCAGCGGTCCAGGGCTGGCCCAACCCGGCCCATTGACAGTGTGAATATTCACATTGACATGTTAACATTCACATTGATAAGAGTGTAAAATTAGCCCGCAGCCCGTGGGCGGCCTGAAGCCCGATCGCAGCCCGAGGCAGGCTTGGCTCGACCCGTGACAATATGAATATTCACATTGACATGTTAACATTAACATTGATAGGAGCGTAAAATTTGCCCGCTGCCCAATGCTTGCCCGCGTCCCGGGGTAGGCCTGGCCAGGCCCGTTGACAATGTGAATATTCACATTGACATGTTAAAATGTACATTGATAGGAATGTAGAATTGGCCCGCGGCCCGTGGGCTGCCCGAAGCCCGCCCATGGCCCGAGGCAGGCTTGTTTCGGTCCGGGCCCGAGCATGTCCGAGACCCTAAGTTAGGGCCTAGGTTATCACTTTGAAGCCCGGCCTATCGGCCCGCTTAAGGCCCATTCAAGGCTCGGTCCGAGGCCCAGCCTGCCCCGAGGCGCAATGTATTTTTTTGTGGAAAATAATAAAATTTTGGTAGAAAAAATTAAAAAGAATTAAAAAAAAAAAAATGGCCAGGCTCGCCCAAGCCCGACCTAAGCTCGAGGCTAGGCCTAGGCCCACCAGCCCAACCCGAGGCTCGATCCATCGGCCCGTTCAAAGCTCGAATACTCTTGTGCCAGGGCTAGGGCCTGGGCCTAATTTTTTGGCCTGTCGGCCGGCCCGACCCGTCCCGGGAAAGGCTCGTTTGGGCCCAGGCTCGAGCCTAGTCCGAGACCCTAGGTTAGGGCCTGGGCCATCACTTTGAAGCCCGACCCGGCCTATCGGCCCGGTTAAGGCCCATTCAAGGCTCGGTCCGAGGCCCGGCCCGCGCAAAGGCCTAGTGTCTTTTTTGTGAAAAATAATAAAATTTTGGTAGAAAAAATTAAAAAGAATTAAAAAAAAAATGGCCAGGCCCGCCCCGGGCCGCCCACGGGCCGTGGGCGGGTTTCGGACAGCCACGAGGCACGGGCTAATTTTATACTCCTATCAATGTGAATGTTAACATATCAATGTGAATATTCACATTGTCAACGGGCCGGGCCGGGCCAGGCAGCCCTGGGCCGCTAGCCAATTTTATACTCTTATCAATGTGAATGTTAACGTGTCAATGTAAATATTCACATTGTCAATAGGCCGGGCCGGGCCCGCCCCGGCATCCCAAGGGCCGTGGGCGGGTTTCGGACAGCCACGGGGCGCGGGCTAATTTTACACTCCTATCAATGTGAATGTTAACATGTTAATGTGAATATTCACATTGTTAACGAGCCGGGCTTTTGGCTGCTCATGGGCCGCGGGCCAATTTTATACTCTTATCAATGTGAATGTTAATATGTCAATGTGAATATTCACATTGTCAACGGGCCGGACCGGGCCCGTCCCGGTCCGCCCATGGGCCGCGGGCGGGTTTCGCACCGCCACGGGACGCGGGCCAATTTTACACTCCTATTAATGTGAATGTTAACATATCAATGTGAATATTCACATCGTCAATGGGTCGGGCCCGCCCCGGCCCGACTTGAATTTTTCTGGGCTCCCACGAGGATCGACATGGGCCGGGCCCTACACATTGACGATATGAACATTCACATTGACAGTGTGAACATTCACATTAAGGGTATTTTGGTAATTATGTCACCCATAGGACTTATTAAAACATAAGAAAATAATGTGAAATAAATTGAACATAAGTAGATGAAAAGGGTATTTTGGTCTTCTTATCTCAAATAGGACCTAATGGAATAGTCAAAAAGAATATGGGTGAATGTTAACATGTCAATGTGAATATTCACATTGTAAACGGGCCGGGCCGAGCCTACCCCGGGCCGCGGGCAAGCTTCGGGCAGCGGGCAAATTTTACACTCCTATCAATATTAATGTTAACATATCAATGTGAATATTCACATTGTCAATGGGCCGGGCCCGCCCCGGCCCAACTTGAATTTTTCTGGGCTCCCACGAGGATCGACATGGGCCGGGCCCTACACATTGACGATATGAACATTCACATTGACGGTATGAACATTCACATTAAGGGTATTTTGGTAATTATGTCACCCATAGGACTTATTGAAACATAAGAAATAATGTGAAATAAATGGAACATAAGTAGATGAAAAGGGTATTTTGGTCTTCTTATCTCAAATAGGACCTAATGGAATAGTCAAAAAGAATATGGGTTGAATGGAATAAAACTCTTAGAAAGTGGATTTATCAAAAAAGCTCCCTATATAGTAACTGGAGTTAGAGAGGTTGGGTTGGGCTATGAGTCTACGACCCAGGTTTTGGGGTTGGACCCCTCACGTTTACTGGTTGGGCCCAATAGAATCTGGGTATGTTGGGCCGAACATGTATGGTTCATAGTCTTAGGTATTTTCAAGCCCAAATTAAAAAATAATAACAATAATTACTAAATGCATTTATAATGTATAATTTGTTTTAAGTTTTGTTAACTAATATATTTAGGGTACTCAATACTATAAGATATTTAGAGTTATAATTTACTCTTAATACACTCTATGTTTTTTCACAGATTATATCTCAAAATAAAATTATAATTTATGGTACATTCAAAAAAATTAATTGAGAACTCCATATCGTCCACAAGTTGTTTTTTAAGTCTTCTATGCAATCAATTATTGATTTTATTTTTTCATGATATCCACAGTTGTACATCTTGTACATACCTTATGTTTTAAAGTCGATGATCATACACAAAGAAATATATATGAGACAAGAAACTGAATTAAACAAATTTACTAAAATTGACATTTCCACGACCCATTATTTTTGGCACAAAAGCACCAGTCTAGCGATTACACAAGTCCTATTTACCACCCCGTATTTATATTTGAACTTCATTGAGATAATGAGCTTTTCGAATGGAACATTGGATATGAATTTCAAAATAATAGAACTTGTGATTTTGAAGCATGACATGGCATTGCATGTCATATATATAAGGCTGTTTAAACTTATATACTTTGTTGAGATCTTTCTACTGGGTTTTATGCTCACTCCTAATGGATTTGTGCAGGAAAGAATGTGGTGATTCCGCTTAATTAGAGACGTGGGAAATCTTTTGAGAGCACGAGGCTCTTTCTCTTTTCTTTTCTTGTATTTATTTATTTATATTTTTTTTTGCAAGCCACGAGCTTTATATATATAGATTTGATAACCATCTTTTGTATAACCGGGCCTAAGCCTCGGAATTTGTAGCCCTTGGGACATTCTTTTGTGTTAGTTCTTTGTACTAATTATCTCACATGTTATGGATTCACACTTTAAGAAGATTGAATATGTATTGCACGTGGATTCCTTTTATAAATCTCTTACATGATATAAAATACAAAAATAGAGATTTAACCTATTGAATTGAGATCATTTTGATTGAATGGGATTAACCAGAATTTTTATTATCGTGTCATTTATTTGGGGGCGTTACATAATTTCTTCATTGCAAAATCACACCTATCTTTGAATTTGTGAACACAAACTCGACTCTTGGTTGCAACCCTTGTGGGACTTCAAAGTTCCTTGAACGATGTTGTTCTTGGATTGCAAAGATAGACTTATAACTGTGATATAATTCTGTGACTTTAATTCAAAAATGATTTCGCAATAAGAACATTGGACCTAAATTG